ACACACACACACACAGACACACACACACACACACACACGCACACGCACACGCACACGCACACATGCACGCACATCGAGCCGGGGCAGTGCGGTCCACCCTGTTCCACCACCATTGACGCAAACTCACGTTCATGCTTTCTGCATCTCTCCATGTCGGTTCCATGAAGCAACGGAGAGTGACCAAAGCCTCTCTCTCTCTCTCTCTCTCTCTCTCTCTCTCTCTCTCTCTCTCCAAATAGGCGGTTGTACCGCGAATCCATCAGGCCTTTCTCTGTTGCAGCATTGATCAGTTGTGCTGTGACTAATGTGCATACACAATTGTGCTGCATCGATCAGCCTGGGTGGCCTCCCACTGCCTCGCTCTACTGCCGAGAATTGCGAGGGGACATTGTACCTATGTTGTCTCTTTCTTTCTCGCAGTGTGGATCGGCGTGGATTGATAGCGTGATAGGTGACCACATGGGGAGTGAAGGGAGCAGGACGAAAAGGGGGAGAGGAACAACGTAGAAGAAGGGAGCAAGGAGGAAGTGGCAGAAGGAGGCGCCTCTGACAGAGGAGGGCGAGGAGGATAAGGCGGAGAAGAGGGAAGGACAAGGACGAGGTGGACCTTTTTTGGGGTTTCAGGGCATATTGGTCGTCTAGCGGGAGGAGGATGGACACATCAGGGGGAGAGGGCAGGAGGAGGAGCATGTGGTGCATGATGACGGGGCAGAGGGGGAAGTGGCGAATGAGAGCGTGATGGCAGAACAGGAGGGGGAGGAGGAGGAGCAGGACGGAGAAGGGGTTGACGGAGAAGCGGGTGATGGAGGAGGAGGGGAAGGAGAAGAAGCAGATCGACGTTTTGAGAGGTGAATTTCTTTTTTGGGGGGTAAGGCGCGACTCGAAAGACCAGATAGGTGGTGGCAGAGGAGGGAATGCACTGGAACAAAAGGAGGGAATGCACTGGAACACAAGGAGGGGAGGAGGATGCTTGGGAGGACGGGGAAGAGGAGCAGGTGGTGGAGGATGACAAGGGGGAGGACGTGGCAGAGGACAAGGGGGTTGCTGAGGAGGGGACGGATATCCAAGATGAGGAGCGGGAAGGGGGGCAGGGTGGAACGTGAGGAGAGAGGAGAAGGAGGTGGTGGAGTGAGAGCGAGAGCAGCAGAACAAGATTGCAAAGCAGGAGAGGGTGCAGGAGGGATGGGGATGGCAGAGCTGGAGGGGGAGGACGAGAAGGAGGTGATGGAGCGGAAGGAGAAGGAGGAGGAAATTGATAATAGGGAGAACGACGACGATGTAGCAGAATACCCCCCCCCCCTCAAAATAGAAGTACGCTGCCACCCTGCACATCTCTCTCTCTCTCTCTCTCTCTCTCTCTCTCTCTCTCCATGCAATTATACAAGCAATGCTTCAACAAGAGGGAACGGAGAGGTGCAATTATACAAGCAATGCTTCAACAAGAGGGAACGGAGAGGGTGAGCAGCCCAAACTTCCTCCCTCTCATCGAAGCATTGCTCTCCATGCAATTAGGCGAGCAATTCTTCCACGACAGGGGAGCGGGACGGGGGAAGTAAGGGAGAGAGCAGGAGAGAGATCGTCGTATGTGAAGCCTTCGGAACCTCCCAAATGATAACGTTCCCACTTTTGTATCAAGGGGCCATGGGAGGTTGACTGTACAGGGCATGCACACATCCATGTCTGCACCAACTTGAAAACATGCATCCATCTGCCCAGTAGCGCCTATTGATTGTCTGACGGCAAGAACGTGGCGGAGGAGGAGGGGCAAGAGGAGACTGCAGTGGAGGACGAGGAGGCGGTGGAGGAGGGGGATGGGGGAGCAGCACATGTCCATCACATGTAGCCGCGCCGAGCATCTGCCTGTTATTGAAAAATAAAAGAAAATCACTTCACTCTTTTCTGAAGTCTTCAGTTTCATGGAAAAAAATTCTCCTTTCCATCTTCTCTAAAGTTTCTTTGAGTTCAAAAATGTTTCTTTTCACTTCGACCTTGTCTGAATTTGTCTCAATCCATTGGGCCTGGCTTCCATTACGTTTAACTGCAAGGATCAGGCCTCTTTGGTGCCAGGTACACATGAACATGGCTACTTTTACGACTAGATTCGTGCTTCCTTTCTTGGGATAGGCATCGTACAAGTAGGGCCAGTCCCTTCGCCAAATGGTACACAACCTCACATGTCCACTCGTAACATGTAGATTGTGTTGAGTACTTCTTTGATGCAATGAAGGCAAAAGGTGGTCTCCATTCTTGCGGTAAAGGGAGAGGGGGGAAAGGGGGGAGGGGGAAAGGGGGCGGCCACAGAGAGAGAGAGAGTGAGGAGGTGGGAAGAGAGAGAGAGAGAGAGAGAGGGAGAGAGAGAGAGAGGGAGAGAGAGAGTGGACCCTGTTCATGAACTTGGAATTGTCCCCATGAAAGATAAGATCTTTGCCATTGAAGTGACGGGATCAACACGCCAAGGATCAAAAACTTACATTCAGACCATCCCTGGCCACCACCGCTGTTGCCTGATCGACAAACACTGCAAAACCAACAGGCTGGCAGGGAGACACAGGCAGAAAACAAAAAGCAAACGAATCACATACACACTCTCAGAGATGGACAAAGGCAGCAGCAAGAGCAGCAAGAAGTAAAGGCAGCAATTGCAGTTTGTTAAGGATGTGTCGGTAATCAAGCTCCCACTAGAACCACACATTTTATTCATAGAAATGTAGACAGTGAACCACAACTCGTGTGAATCTCTCTCTCTCTCTCTCTCTCTCTCACACACACACACACACACACACACACACACACACACACACACACACACACACACAGAGTGTGAGCCAGTTCCCCCCGTTGATTGGCCTCCACAGTCGGCGATATTTTCAGTTGAATCTGTACTACCTTCTTTGTGTACGCTTTAGCTTGGCCACAAAGTTGAAGCGTAAACAAAGAAGAAGGTAGCACACTACCCTCAAGCAACATGTAGGCGCAACAGCTACTCCCCTGGCTTGCTATGGTGAACAAAGCCCATCGGCAGTTACTCGAATGGCCATCCATTTTTTACTTGGGTGCACTTAAATGACCCTGTGGGAGCAACATCTGACTCTATCCAACTGGAGGCATCCATGTTCACGAGTGGGTTCACAAGCAGAGCTTCGCTTGCTGACGTCCACGTTCAAGGAGAAAACGTTTAAACATACGTTTTTCAAAGAAAGAAAACCTAAACGCCAGCATGAGAGGAGAACCTAAACGCGCTTATCCACAACAACAAAGAGACAGAAAAGCACAACAATAAGAACCAAGTATTTCCTTGAAACACTAGAACGTTTTCTGGTGTTCCTTCTTCTCGGACGATGGAATAGCACGATGGAAGCGTGCACGTTTTCTGGAGGTACGGTGTACGGGAAAGATTACTGTACGTCGACGAACGAACAGGCAGATAGCGGGAGAAATATTAGGAAAATGCATTTTTTCTGAAGCTATGAGTACGGGAAAGGTGCTGGAAATCGGCGCGTGTATAGACTAAGAGCGGGAAAAATTTCTTTGTCCGGTAGTAGTAGATTTTGTCATTTTCTGTTTCGCCTGGATTTCACCTGGATGTACCCTCTGTTTGTTGTGGTTTGCTTTGGTTTGTATAGATCTCGAGTGGATTCTGGCTCTAAATCTCGTGATACTGAGCTCCGATCGCTGTAGATTGTGAAGGAACTCTGTCTTTCGTAGATTTGGTAGATACGGAAGATTAAGTAGGATCGATACCTCCAGGTACGTAAAATGGACAAACCTTCTGGATGGCGCGCGTTCTTTCTGAGAAAGATCAGTCTTGCGCGGGTTCTGGCTGCACGAAGCGGCGGGAAAACGGGGGAGCCTGCCAGCAGGTTGGACGGTGGCACCGTAGGAAACGCGCGAGAACTGGTTTTTATTTTATTTTATTTTATTATTTTTGTAGGAAAGCTCGGAAGTGAGAAACGCAGTAGGCTTGAGTGACGGCAGCAAGGAAGTTTCAAGTATAAGTACGCTAGTTCTTAGGCATCAAAGCATCTCGAACCACCCCCTGATGAGGTCGCTATCTGGCAGCGACCGAAACTAGTCGGGGATGCCAGCGCCTCGGTCTGAGCGCCACTCTTTCTTTCGGTCGACGGAGGTGTCATAGCTGAAGCTATGGAGTCATAGCTGAAGCTGTGAAATGAGCTTCATGTCTGTCTTTCTTTAAACTCGGGTTTCGAGGTTGAGTTTCACATATGATCGCTGCGCATGTCGCGGCTATGTGTCTAGCGTTTGTTGGTCTTGACTGACTATGCTTTATCACCTTCTTCTCTCTAGAACTTTCCCAAGTACCGTGAGAAGAAGGAACACTAGACTTTCACAGCGGTAATGAAGAGCTGACCCATCTGTCACTCTACGTACCTTATCAGACGGGTAAAACAGGGCCATGAACGGTCAAATCCAGCCTTCACTTCAAAAATATGATTTCCACAAGGAAGAGGCGGCTGCTGAGGAGGGAGGGAGGAGGATAACCAGGCAAAGCTATTTAGGGATGAAGGACCTGTTTAGTCATCCAGACCCTTTCCAGCTACCAATCAGGCCTTCACCAAAAAAAAAAAA